CTCTCCCTTCTCAGCAATGCCTCTGCAGCTCAACTCTCCCTTCTCGGCAGTGACTCCACCTCTCAACTCCACCGCCAAGCACGCGGAACTCCAACCTCTGCAGAAAGACTGCTGTTTCAACACAGAGCATGGGTCATGCAGTATGCTGGCAGGGGACAGGCTTCTCTACCGTTTGTGGCTGCTTTCTAAAGAATATGAACAATAGGACTTTGCAGATCTTTGGTTTTTCTGCGTCTGGAAAGTATTTAACAGATTAAACTGAAAGTTCTATTGATTTAAACTGAAAGCATGAAGTGGCCACCAATGTCATCCAATCAAAAAGACAGCTGTCATCTCTTCCAGGTGTATGACACATAAGGAGTTAGAAAACATTAGTGCGTTCTTTTTTTCACTTTTACACAAATAGTCCCATAAATACCGTCAGCTTCTTCCATAAATACATTTTTTTCCTATTTTTTTTTTCCGCCTTTTATTTAACATTGCAGGAGAGATAGAATTTGAATCCTGCAAATGAGATATGAATGGCGCAGCCCCATGCAAATGATTAATTGTCTCGTGTTGAAAGACGCTAAGACGTCTCCTTAAGAGCCGGGAGCAACAAAGGAAGAGCGGAGGAAAAGGAAAATCTTCTGCAGGAATCGCCAGAGGTGACGCGCTGCTGCACTGTGTATGAGGTTTCCATGGCAACTGGCGCTGGCAAAGACGAAAGCGCCGGAGATTCATTTCATTCTGCAGTACGGGCTCATAAATCTCTCTGTTCTCCGGTACCCACAGATCATTCGCCTCTGCTTCTAATTATGGCGAAGGAGTGCGAAACAATGAGGTCATTATTACTGTACAATGTAGTGAAATAATTGGAGCGCACCTGGCTTCTGACCCTTCTGTTTATCTAGAGCCGCGCAGGAGCGACTGGCCACGAAACACCCGGCAGATAATCGGGGAAAATAATTGTATCATAAAACATGACCGGGGACGGCTCGCGAGCATGCTAATGAACGCACCATAAAAATGAGATTTCCAGTTTAGCGGGTAACGTTTATTGTGCTCCGCGTTACGCCGAATGGACGAATTGGACTCGTGGTGGTTTTATGGCGCTGAATCTCTGGGGCTTATTGGCACACGCAGTAATGAGCTGGGAGTTTATTTTACAATGCCGGGCGCTCGCGGCGTTTCAGAATTATATGCTACAACCTTTTATAGCGTAATGTTTGGGCTGTCTGTGTTTAAAATATAACGCCGATAGCGGCCGGCTGGTATTTCCTCGATAGGTTATTATCAACAAACAAAAGCTGATAATAACTAAAGAGATGCTCCAATCACAGGGGAAATGGAGCCTTGGAATGTGTACCGCGAGGAAAACCAGTCTATCCATGGCTTCTGTTTTCCTTCCAGACTACTTAACGTTGAAGTTTAACCCGTTTATATTTTGCCCTGCACGTTATGTCATTCCGGCTTTGTAAGGGACACAGTGTCCCTGACGAAGTCAGAATGACAAAACTTTCCTTCCAGGTAGAGCTGTGCTGTTCCAGACTACTTAACGTTGAAGTTTAACCCGTTTATATTTTGCCCTGCGCGTTATGTCATTCCGGCTTTGTAAGGGACACAGTGTGCCCCCTGACGAAGTCAGCAGAATGACAAAACTTTCCTTCCAGGTAGAGCTGTGCTGTACCAGACTACTTAATGTTGAAGTTTAACCAGTATATATTTTGCTCTGCGCGTTACGTCATTCCAACTTTGTAAGGGACACAGTGTCCCTGACAAAGTCAGAATGCGGAAACGTTCCTCCAAAAACGTTTCCATTTTCATTACATCACTGGGTCTCTGTGCTTCTCTATGCAACAGAGGCAAATCACTGTTGGCGCCCCTTTCATTCAGCTGTACTTACATGATCGGCATCATTCACAGTGGCTAAATGGTTAGCACTTCCGCCTGGCAGTACTGGGGTCATCAATTCAAATTCCAATCACGACACTACCTGCCTGGATTTGCATGTTCTCCCTGTGCCTGCATGAGTATCCTCCGGGTACTCCGGTTTCTTATCACACTCCAAAGACATGCTGGTAGGTTAATTGGATCCTGTCTAAACTGGCCCTAATATATGTATGTATGAATGTGAATCAGAGACTTTAGATTGTAAGCTACTTGAGGGTTAGGGACTGATGTGAATGCACAATATATATGTAAAGCGATATGTATATTGACGACACTACACAAGTACCTGTAGCAGTAAAAATAATATGTGTTTCCATCATCCAGCTCTGCCCTATACATTACATCATTCCAACTTCCTCAGGGACACAATGTCCCTGATGAAGTCAAAATGACATAACTTGCAGGGTGGAGCTGGATAACATAAGTGCACAAGCGGAACTCTGGAAGAGGCAGTGACATGGTGGCTGCTCAAATGGTTTGTTCCTTTTCTTTTCTCTATGCATGATGATTTTAAGTGTACAGATTGGAGTGTACTGCTTTTGTAATCGTTGAAAACCAAGCCTTTTCTAGCACTTTTTGTTTACATTTAACATTCATTATTTTTGCTAGAAAATGTCTCCGAACCCCCAAACACTATATATTTGTTTTAAAGCGGAGGTCCTAGAGAATACATTTGTGGGTTTTGCAATTTTTTTTTAGGTTGCACGGTATTTGTGCAGTGACTTTTCTAATGCAATTTTTGGCGAAAAAGTAAATTGATACCAAACATGTCACGCTTTAAAATTGCACATGCTCATGCAATGGCGATAAACAACGTACATTTTACTAACCATAGGCAATGCTTTAAAAGCCTTTACAGATGATCACTTTAGATTTACAGAGGTCTGGTGCTAGAATTACTGCCCATGATCTGACGTTTGCGGTGATAGCTCACATGTGTGGGATGATCGCAGTTTGCTTGCGTGCGGTGTTGTCTTATCATATCACTACCTTAAACTCAATCTTTCAAAAACTGAGCTTGTATTATTCCCCCCCCCCCCCATCCCCCACTCATAACTTTACCATTAAGATCAACAGCACAGCCATTGGTCCTTCCCCTCATGCCAGGGTGCTAGGCGTAATCCTAGACTCTGACCTCTCCTTTGGGCCCCACATCCACTCACTGGCTAAATCTTGCCACCTCAACCTCCGGAACATTTCCAAAATCCGCCCCTTCCTGACCAATGACACCACAAAACAACTTATCCACACCTTGGTTATATCCCACCTCGATTACTGCAACTCCCTCCTCACTGGTCTACTGTTACACAGGCTATCCCCCCTTCAGTCTATTATGAATACTGCTGCTAGACTCATCCACCTTACCAACCGATCAGCGACTGCTGCTAGACTCATACACCTTACCAACGATCAGCGACTGCTGCTAGACTCATACACCTTACCAACCGATCAGCGACTGCTGCTAGACTCTCACCTTACCAACCGAACAGCGATTAGACTCATACACATTACCAACCGATCAGTGACTGCTGCCCCTCTCTGCCAATCCCTTCATTGGCTTCCACTAACCCAACATATAAAATTAAAAATACTAACCACAGCTTACAAAGCCATCCACAACACTGCCCCTAGCTACATCACCAACCTCATCCACAGATACCGCCCAAATTGCCCCACTCCGTTCCTCCCAGCTGCATCATCCCAGGCTTGCCTCCAGGACCTCTCTACCTCTCCCATCCTCTGGAACTCCCACAGCATGTCCGGTCAGCCCCCTCTGCCTTTAGGATCTTTCACTTCAGACCTCTCCCACCTCCCCTAGGAACTGAACTTGAATTACCTCCACCTACCACAGCATCACCTTTTGTATCCCCTCCCCCTTCTTTAGATTGTAAGCTCCATGAGCCGGGCCCCCACCCCATTGTACTGCCCTTATATTGTAAAGCTGAGCAAACTGTTGGCGCTATATAAATCCTGTATTATAATAATAATAATCATATTATTAAAACTTCTTTTACAGAGAGACATCCAGCATGAATACTTGTAGATGTTAAAAGATGTCTTCTAGATTATGAGGTCCACACAAAAACAGTTCCTAAGACAAATCTGTTGTCTTATATCAATGATGGAGGACGTATGACCAGTGTATATTTATGTATATGTACCTTTCCTGCAGCAACTAACAGTTCTTTTCCAGAGAGATGCATTTATTTAGATACAGATATTTGTTACAGATGACGGAAATCCGCCTGAATACTTGTAAATATTACAATGAACAACCCTCAAAGTCCCATTTAAAATACTTCATATCAAGTATGGAGATACTACACCGTCCACCATAGGTCTGATCTGTAATATGCACCAAGATAGCTTCCATTCATGCAATAATGTGAGTTATGATCTATACCTGTGCTCTCATATTAATGACAGGAAAAAGCTCCTCTTCCCAGCCAAAATAACTTCCCTTGAAATAGTTTACTGGAAGGGTTCCTGACCGGCTGACACAACACTTTTGATCTTACATGAAAAGGCTTCACTTGTCATTACTATAAATACTGTAACAATTAGGGCCACTATAGTGTTTCCCAGGTAATGAAGTCATCCTTTCACCATATAATACGCCCTTGAGTCTAATTACCATCAATAAATACTTCTTGTATGGTCAAATCCTATATACAATGTACGCTTTGGAATGTCTAATTAGATAAACAGGCTATTCCCCAAATACCAAAGTGACCTGAATAAAATTAACATAGCACAGAGTTCTTTTCATTTGTAAAGTGGTCTTTTCACACTGGCCTGTCCAAGAATGAACAGTATGTGTTTAACTACCTGCCGACCGCAGATAGCCGAATGACGGCTGCACTGCGGCCGGCCAGTTCTGGGTGGACGTCATATGATGTCCTCCCAGAACGCGCTCTCCTGCGCGCCCCAGGGGGCGCGCACCCGGCGATCTCCGTGATCGCTGTGTCCTACGGACACAGCTGATCACGTGATGTGGTAAAAGGCCAATCACAGCGGCCTTTTACCACGTGATCAGCGGTGTCCAATGACACGCTGATCAGAGGAAAATGCAAGTGCCGGTTCTTGGCTGCACTTTCCTCACGCTGTCAGATCGTGAGGAAAGTACTGCCGAGAACCGGCAGTTGTCAGAGCGGGGATCGGCACCGATCATCAGGGCACTGATGATCAGTGCCCTGATGATCGGTGCCCAGCAGTGCCACCCGCAAGCTCCGCCCACCTGTGCCCAGCAGTGCGTCCACTAGCTCCGCCCACCTGTGCCCAGCAGTGCACCCACCTGTGCCCAGCAGTGCACCCATCTGTGCCCAGCAGTGCACCACCTGTGCCCTCTGCAGTGTCACACCACACCTGTGCCCAGCAGTGCCACCCACCTATGCCCACCCCAGTGCCACCCACCAGTGCAGTGCTGCCAGTCAGTGCCACCAGTCAGTGCCCAGGGGTTGTGCCAGTCAGTGCCGCCAGTCAGTGCCCAGCAGTGATGCCAGTCAGTGCTGTCTATCAGTACCCATCATCAGTGTCACCTATCAGTGCCGCCTATCAGTGCTGCATATTAGTGCCGCCTGTGACACCTCATTAGTGCTGTCTATCAGTGCCGCCTATCCGTGCCATCTCATTAGTGCTGCCTATCAGTGCCCTTTAGTGCTGCCTATCAGTGCCCATCAGTGCTGCCTCATCAACGCACATCAGTGAAGGAGAAAAATTACCTGTTTGAAAAATTTTATATAATAGAAACAAAGAAACTTTTTTTTTTTTTTCAAATTTTTTGGGCTTTTTTTTTATTTATAGCGCAAAAAGTAAAGCGCCCAGTGGCGATTAAATACCACCAAAAGAAAGCTCTATTTGTGAGAAAAAAATGATCAAAATTTCATATGGGAACAATGTTGCATGACCGCGCAATTGTCAATCAAAATGCAGCAGCGCTGAAAGCTGAAAATTGGCCTGGTAAATAAGGGGGTATAAGTGCCTGGTAGGCAAGTGATTTAAAAAAAAATATATATAAATATTTTTATTACACACAATATACTACATGAGAGACCAACACATGCATTCGCCTGTGCGTGCAAACACGGAGGCACTTTAATTTTTTTTCTATTTTAACACTATCACTTTAATTTTACTTTTTATCACTTTTATTGCTGTCACAAGGAATGTAAACAACCCTTGTAAAAGCAATAGGCCTGTGACAGGTACTCAATAAGACCCCAAATCCTTCCTCAGCCCTTAAAAGCATTCAATCACACCAAGATCGTTGTAATGAATGCTTTTCTTTCTTAGAAATGGCGCTGTTTGTTTCTGAGTAAACATCTACAAACGCCAGCTGCTGGATCGGGACCCCTGTTGGGACATTAAACTTGCTAAGGTGGGGGGGTCAGCAAAGGTGTTGGAGTCCCCTTCCACTGCTTGTAATAGCAATCAGGTGGCTAGTTAGCCGCTCTGATTGCTATTGCAAGTGAGACGATCGTTGGCGCTAAAAAATGGCGCAGCAGCCGCAGGCATCATTCCAGTACAACAGCTCAAACCCCAGACACGTACGGGAACGTCGTTGCAGCTAGAGATGTTAAATAAAATGCTGAAATGGAATTATGCTATGCGGAGTGTTTACATTTCACTTCCATGTCACATGGTGAACGGTGTGCAGTAAACCGAGACCCCTGAGGAAAACTAATAGCCCAGTAGGGTGTATAAAGAGCATTAGCCCTTAGAAATGTTGAGCCAATGTTCTATAGCAGAGGTCTCCGAACTACAGCCCGTGAGCCAAATTCAGCCCACTACAAGATTTTATCCGGCCTGCAGCTAGGGTCAGTGGATTCTCACACAGGTCTCACCCAAACCCCCTCCTCTGGTCTCTAGCAAAGGTTCCTGTTGTTGTACCGTCACTGGTTGCTAAGATCACTGAGGTCCCAACAGCCAATCATATGCTTGCCCCAGCATTCACAGGACGACAGCACTTAACTGCAAGTAGAGAACTCCACTACACAACAATCCTACAACAAGGGGAAATGGAAAAAGTCTCACCGGAAGGCCTCTAGGACGGTGTGCTCGGGGATGTTTGGAGCCACACGTTTAAATGCCCTCTTAAAATCGTCCACATTTAAAAATCCGCGACCTGTTCAGAACATAGAAACATTGAAGAGTGATGGCAGAAAAATACTAGGCAGTCCATCAAGTCTGACCCTTTTATTTATTAATTTTTTTACCACTTACTGTTGACCGACTCGCTACCTCTGCAGGAAATCTATTTCAAGCATCAACTGCTCTTTTGGTAGAATAATACTTTTCTAAGGTTAGTTTTGAACTTTCCTCTTACTAGGCTGAGGTCCTGTCCCCGTGTTCCTGATCTTAGCTTAATATTGGAAATCCTGCCCTCCTGAACCTTAGTCACCCCCTTCATGTATTTCAAGGTTTCAATTATGTCTCCCCTTTTCCTTCTTTCCTCCAGACTGTACATACTGAGTTCTTGAAGTCTCTCCTGATATTTTTTTATCCCCCCAACCTTTCCCCCTTTCTGTTGCCCATCTCTTTTTGAAAGTGAGGTCTCCAGAACTGGACACAGTATTCTAAATAAGGTCTAGCTAAATATCTATATAGAGGAATCAGGACCGCTTTCCTCCTGCTGGTGACCCCTCTAGTGATATAAAGATCTATATAGAGGAATCAGAACCTCCTTCCTCCTGCTGGTGACCCCTCTAGTGATATAAAGATCTATATAGAGGAATCAGGACCCTTCCTCCTGCTGGTGACCCCTCTAGTGATATAAAAATCTATATAGAGGTCAGGACCTCCTTCCTCCCAGTGATCCCTCTAGTGATATAAAGATCTATATAGAGGAATCAGGACCCCTTCCTCCTGCAGTGGCCCCTCTAGTGATATAAAAATCTATATAGAGGAATCAGGACCTCCTTCCTCCTGCTGGTAACCCCTCTAGTGATATAAAAATCTATATAGAGGAATCAGGACCTCCTTCCTCCTGCCGGTGACCCCTCTAGTGATATAAAGATCTATATAGAGGAATCAGGACCTGCTACTGGTGACCCCTCTAGTGATTCAAAGCTCTGTATAGAGGAATCAGGACCTCCTTTCTCTTCCTGGTGACCTTTCTAGTGATATAAAACATCCATATAGAGGAATCAGGACCTCCTTCCTCCTGCTGGTGACCCCTCTAGTGATTCAAAGATTTATATAGAAGAATCAGGACCTCGTTCCTCCTGCTGGTGACCCTTCTACTGATATAAAGATCTATATAGAGGAATCAGGACCCTCTGCCTCCTGCTGGTGACCCCTCTAGTGATATAAAGATACATATAGAGGAATCAGGACCTCCTTCTTCCTGATGGTGACCCCTCTAGTGATTTAAAGATCCATATAAAGGAATCAGGACCCAATTCCTTCTGCTGGTGACCCCTCTAGTGATTGAAAGATCTATATACAGGAAACAGGACTTCCTTCTTCCTCCTGGTGACCCCTATAGTGATATAAATATCTATATAGAGGAATCAGGAACTCCTTCCTTCTGCTGATGACCCCTCTAGTAATTTAAAAATCTATACAGAGGAATCAAGACCTCCCGCTGGTGACCCCTCTAGTGATTTAAAGATCCATATAGAGGAATCAGGACCTCTTTCCTCCTCAGGGTGACCCCTCTAGTGATATAAAGATCCATATAGAGGAATCAGGACCTCCTTCCTCCTGATGGTGACCCCTCTAGTGATTTAAAGACCCATATAGAGGAATCAGGACCTCCTTCCTCTTCAGGGTGACCCCTCTAGTGATATAAAGATCCATATAGAGGAATCAGGACCTCTTCCTCCTGCCGGTGACCCCTCTAGTGATGCACCCCACAATTCCATTTGCTTTCCCCACTGCTAGGTCACACTGTGTGCCTATTCCTCAATAATCTGAAATGAGTACCTTCAAACTACAGTAATTTTTACAATCACGTAAAAACAATACAGATGCATAAAGTTTTTTTATAATCACACAGAGCAGAGTAATGAAACATTACTCCAGCTCAAACTTTTGCCCGTTAACTGGCTGAAAATGAATACTCACAGTGTGTATCGAAGACGGAGAAGATCTGTCTCTGCTCTCCGAAGTTTAGCTGAGCGCTCCTTTTTACAGACATCAGCTTTACAAATTCATCAGCTCGGATGCCTAGGGGTAGAAAAGATGTTGGTGTGTTATATGACTGCACAGAAGGCTCACCAAGCAATAATCTGCAGCGCCTGGAGCAGAGTACGGGGCTCCCTGGAACCAATCATTTTTCTTCTATTGATCAAATACAAGACGGGGAAGAGGAGACCGACGCACAGTGGCACACCATGATATCTACAAATCACATTCTGGAGGTCTATATAGTCAGCGGCATGAAAAAAAAAAAAGATCATACAGTATGTGCTTTTATGGTCACAGATCAGTAACGCTCCTTAAATGATTTGATGTTAGCATTTAAATTCCTGCCAACCGCATATATGTGGCGGCTAGAAAAGTGGGCTGTAAAGCGGAAATTAAGTTCTACTGTAAGAAACAGTGAGCAGGCAGGCTGTTAGTGCAGAGGAGACATGCACTGTCTCTTCTGCAATAAAATGCCCCTACCTGTCTGCTGATTGTCTTTTCTGGCACTGTAAACTCTGCTGTGCATGCACTGCTTGGCTTACAGTACCAGGCTGGTGATGACTAGCTCCTGCGCATGCGCAAGGGTGACATCATCTCCCACCAGCCAATGAAGAGGCCTGAAGACCAGCACTCACAAAAAGATGCAGAATGAAATGAAAACGAGAAGCGCACCAACCTTGCGCATTACCTCAGTAACCAAAATTTATTAATTGTAAAAAATATACTCACAAACAGCGAATAAAATCAGGCATGTAAGTCCTCACAGGGACTTGAAGATAACATGAGTCCCATCAGGGGAGTGGGTGTTCAGTACAGCTGACGCGTTTCGAAGGGGGTCCCTTCTTCCTCAGAGCTAACTGAACTATGAGTGCTCTCTCCTATATATACTCCTGGACTGAACCTAGGCCCTCCCCACTGGGTTGGGCAGTCTCAGGTTAGTAGGAGGGGCCAAGATATCGTCAACAGACAATCACTATTTGTAATGCCATCAGAGAGAAATGATATAGACAAACGTAAAATATAAAATATATAAAACCACATTTTGCATACACCACTTAGTATGCATGTAATATATCAACTTAGTGATGACACCAATGGAAATGATGATGATAGATAATACATGATGAAACATAATATATAGTAAATACTTAGTCTTATTCCATGATTCATTGGTGAGCGATGTATCAAATGGACAAATCATCCAGAGGGCTTGTCATGATGCTGGATGAGTGTATAGCAAATAATGTAAAATAGACTTAAGTTGTTAGTCAATGGATGTCTTAATGGATAGGTGTCCATAGTGACACAAACACATGTATATATATATATGTAGACATATAAACCCACACACAAACCTTCAACCAGAAGCTGTATGATGTGTGCTACCAGGCAGCTGCATGTGCTTCATGATCGGATGATGGAGTATCCATGTCTCTGATGGATAGGATTGGATCAGTAATCTTGGATCCGTAATATTGTATAGTCAGCAGCAGAGGGAGATCTTATGTTTCCCTCTATAGCTGCAGGCTTACCCTGTGTGTGGAACGCACGCTAGTATGGCATGACTGCGCATGCGTGGACTAACATGCACATGCGCAGTATGAGGAGGACAGGTCCGTCGGCGCGATCACGTGAGCGCGCAGCACACGCATCTGACGGCCACCAGATGCGCGTGCTGCGCGCTCACGTGATCGCGCTGACGGACCTGTCCTCCTCATACTGCGCATGTGCATGTTAGTCCACGCATGCGCAGTCATGCCATACTAGCGTGCGTTCCACACACAGGGTAAGCCTGCAGCTATAGAGGGAAACATAAGATCTCCCTCTGCTGCTGACTATACAATATTATGGATCCAAGATTACTGATCCAATCCTATCCATCAGAGACATGGATACTCCATCATCCGATCATGAAGCACATGCAGCTGCCTGGTAGCACACATCATACAGCTTCTGGTTGAAGGTTTGTGTGTGGGTTTATATGTCTACATATATATATATACATGTGTTTGTGTCACTATGGACACCTATCCATTAAGACATCCATTGACTAACAACTTAAGTCTATTTTACATTATTTGCTATACACTCATCCAGCATCATGACAAGCCCTCTGGATGATTTGTCCATTTGATACATCGCTCACCAATGAATCATGGAATAAGACTAAGTATTTACTATATATTATGTTTCATCATGTATTATCTATCATCATCATTTCCATTGGTGTCATCACTAAGTTGATATATTACATGCATACTAAGTGGTGTATGCAAAATGTGGTTTTATATATTTTATATTTTACGTTTGTCTATATCATTTCTCTCTGATGGCATTACAAATAGTGATTGTCTGTTGACGATATCTTGGCCCCTCCTACTAACCTGAGACTGCCCAACCCAGTGGGGAGGGCCTAGGTTCAGTCCAGGAGTATATATAGGAGAGAGCACTCATAGTTCAGTTAGCTCTGAGGAAGAAGGGACCCCCTTCGAAACGCGTCAGCTGTACTGAACACCCACTCCCCTGATGGGACTCATGTTATCTTCAAGTCCCTGTGAGGACTTACATGCCTGATTTTATTCGCTGTTTGTGAGTATATTTTTTACAATTAATAAATTTTGGTTACTGAGGTAATGCGCAAGGTTGGTGCGCTTCTCGTTTTCATTTCATTCTGCAGTGTTGATTGGGCTTCCCCAGCCTTGTTTTGGAGCCGCACAGCCCTTTATGCATTGGTGGACGATCCCTCCAGGCCTGGTTCCATCTGTTCGCCACCTGTCTGAGCCCTAGAGCGCAGGAGAATTCGTCTTTGACTCACAAAAAGATAGCAATGCTGGCAAGAGACTGTTGGACGGCTAACTATTCATTCTTTAGTTCCACTTTAACAAACGCTAAGGGAAAGCACCAATTTTTTTCTTTTAATAAAAAATGTTGGGGGGTCCAAGCAATTAATGCAAACAAAGTCCTAGCAACCAATGATGCTGTGAGGATGGCAGCCTCCTAGCAACCAATGACGATGTGAGACTGAAAGTATCTTAGCAATTAGTGATGCTGTGAGGCTAACTGCTTTCTAGCAACTAATGATGCTGTGAGGCCAATAGCATCCTATTGGCCTCACATGCTGCTCTGAGGTCGATAGAGCCCTAGCAACCAATGATGCTGTGAGGATGGCAGCTTCCTGGCAACCAATGATGATTTGAGACGTAAAGTGTATTAGCAATCAGTGAAGCTGTGAAGCCAATAGCATCCTAGCAACCAAAGATGCTCTGAGGTAAATACAGTGCTAGCAAGCAATGATTCTGTGGGGCCAAGAGCTGCCTAGCAACCAATGATGCTGTGAGGCTGGCATCCACCAATGATTGACTCTATGAGGATGACAGACACCTAGCAACCAATGACCCTGTGAGGATGACAGCATCCTAGCAACTAATGACACTGTGGGGTCAACAGCATTCTAGCAACCAATGACCCTGTGAGGATGACAGCATCCTAGCAACCAATGACCCTGTGGTTTCAACAGCATTCTACCAACTAATGGCCCTGTGGTTTCGACAGCATTCTAGCAACTAATGGCCCTGTGGGGTCGACAGCATTCTAGCAACTAATGGCCCTGTGGGGTCGACAGTATTCTAGCAACTAATGGCCATGTGGGGTTGACAGCATTCTAGCAACTAATGACCCTGTGGGGTCAACAGCATTCTAGCAACTAATGACCCTGTGGGGTTGACAGCATTCTAGCAACTAATGGCCCTGTGGGATCAACAGCATTCTAGCAACTAATGACCCTGTGGGGTGACAGCATTCTAGCAAACTAATGGCCCTGTGGGGTCGACAGAATCCTAGCAAACAATGACCCTGTGGGGTCGACAGAATCCTAGCAAACAATGACCCTGTGGGGTCGACAGAATCCTAGCAATCAATGACCTTGTGGTGTCGACAGAATCCTAGCAAACAATGACCCTGTGGGGTCGACAGCATCCTAGCAAACAATGACCCTGTGGGGTCGACAGAATCCTAGCAAACAATGACCCTGTGGGGTAGACAGCATCCTAACAACTAATGACCCTGTGGGGTAGACAGCATCCTAACAACTAATGACCCTGTGGGGTCGACAGCATCCTAGCAAACAATGACCCTGTGGGGTAGACAGCATCCTAACAACTAATGACCCTGTGGGGTAGACAGCATCCTAACAACTAATGACCCTGTGGGGTCGACAGCATCCTAGCAATCAATGACCCTGTGGTGTCAACAGCATTCTGGCAACTAATGACCCTGTAGGGTCGACAGCATCATAGCAACCAATGATTCTATAAGGCAGACAGCATCTTACCAACTAATGACTTCTTGAGACCAAGAGCATCCTATCAACTAAAGATGCTTAGGCCGACCGATTTCTATCAACCAGGATGGCACAGCCCTGCATACACCAAAATGACATTAGTTTAATTGGCAAGTTGAGTTGGGAACTTTTCTCTTTTTTCTCTCAATGCATCGCCCGTCCATGTGTTCCTTGCTGTGAAGGCCAGTTATAGACTGGGGCAGTGGCCATTTTTTGTACTATTATGACTATTCTGCCAGTATAGGGTTGCAAATGCATTACTGAATTGCGTTCAATGTGCTCTCCTCGGCCGTATCTGCATGTCCTTCGTCCTTCATCCAGTACTATGCTGCACTCTCAATACCATGAAAAGTTATTTTCAAGAGCCAGAACACTCGATCTCAGAGGAAAAGTAAAAAGAATGCCAAGAGGTAGAAAGGAGATACCCAAGATACACACAAGAGGAACCCCACAAGGAAGTGATATAGGAGATGGACAGCTAGAAAAGGAATAATAATATGATTCGATCACAATGATATCATACACACAGATATGAACACAACATACTGACCCCCAGACTTGGAGGATAACATGGAGTCAACTTCCAGCTGAAAGAGAAATAAAACGGTCAGTCAGTATGTATAGCAGGAAAGCTAATATAGTAATGTGATATTAATACATTCACTTATAACAAAAACTATATCAGAACTAATAAAATTATTGAAAAAAAAAATAAAAAACAGAAAAAAAAAAAAAAAACACAACAAATATTTTATCTTAGGTAATTATCAAGTTAATCAGAGAATAAACAGGACCATAGAAGAAACAATACACAAACACTTCATAGGTGTGGTTAAAGCGTAATGTCACCCGAAAAGGAAGTTCTGCTGCCCCCCCCCCCCCTTCTTCTGCTTGTGTTTGAATTTGAAGGTTGTTTGTTTTTTCCTCCCTGGGAGTAGGTACCTATTTCGGACAGGTAAGCAGAGCAGAAGTCCACCGCCACCCTCACAACCTTCTGGGACATGTCTTAACGACTTGCCTACCGGGCACTTGTACCCCCTTCCTGCCCAGGCCAATTTTCAGCTTTCAGTGTTGTTGCACCTTTAAGGACAATTGCGCGGTCATGCAACATTGTACTCATTGAAATTTGTATCATTTTTTTCTCACAAATAGAGCTTTCTTTTGGTGGGCGTTTTATTTTTTGCGCTATAAACAAAAAAAGAGCAAAAAATTTGAAAAAAAAAAAAAAAGTTTCTTTGTTTCTATTATAAAATTTTGCAAACAGGTAATTTTTCTCCTTCACTGATGTGCATTGAAGAGGTGCACTGATAGGCAGCACTGATGATGGACACTGATAGGCGGCACTGATAGGCAGCACTGATACATGGAACTGATGAGCTGGCACTGATGATGGGTACTTACTAGTCGGGCACTGATAGACGGCACTGCTGGGCACTGACTGGCGGCACTGCTGGGCTGCAGAGATGGGCACTGGTGGGCACAGGTGGGCACTGCACTGCTGGTATTTGTGGGAGGAACTGGTGGGTGGCACTGCTGGGCACCGATCATCAGGGCACTGATCATCGGTGCCGATCCTCGCTCTGACAACTGCCGGTTCT